AAGTGAAAGTTCAGAAACAAGGCACGGCATTATATGATAAAAGCAGCGTTAAGTGAAACAGCGTTAGTAATACTGTGTATATATATATATATATATATATATACATACGCCTACACACATCTGTGCGCACACACACACAAAATATATATATATATATATATATATATATATATATATATATATATATTCAACAAAATATATGTACAAAAAATCAATGGTGCATTAGGGTACTGGTCACTTCAGACACAAAGACGGGCTATAAATACAGTAGCCTTCTTTATCTGCCCTCCATCTCACCCTGAGCCAGAGGGAAGGGTCATGGTAAATAACATTTGTTTGCTTATTTTCCATTTACTTGAAATGGATTTACAAATTATTTGTTTATTTATTTAAAAGTCATTTACTGAATATTCTATGTAAAAAATAGATTTTAAATTAATTATTTATAGGAGATAAGTATTATGATCAGTAAATATATGTATTACTGGCCACTTCAGACACAAAGGCGGGATAAAAATAGCCCATCTCCTCTTCTTACAGCTGCCAATGGGAGCGTCTTGGTACAGTGAGTTCTGCTATAACGCGTGTTTTGATAAGCTAATTTATGAATTAGGAGCGATATTTGTATAACTTGACAGCTTGTTTGCTATACTTGCGATTTTGCTTACTATTTCTCCAATTTTGTGGTACAGTGGGGTATGCTATAACGAATCTAATTGGTTCTAGAACCTTGTTCGTTATAGCATTCATTAGTTATAGGATTAATCGTTCCAGGCCCCAAATACAACCATAACACTGAAAAATATAATATAAAATTGTAAAATTGTAGAAAAGTGCATAAATATGCATCTAAACCCCTGAAATAAAAGAATATCATTAATATTTGTAATAAAAAAACAATAAATTAGAAAAAATAAAAAATATTTAAATAATGTGAATATAGTAAAGAAGAATATCAACAAGAAGCGTTTATAGAATTCCCGGTGATGATCGTAAAAGAAAGGATATAACACTTGAAGAGAAGCTCGATTTTATCAACCCAAAATCACCCTTCTCCATCAAGTAAAGTGTTACATTTACTGTATGATTTCATTATTAGATATGAATGTAACATTTATTTAGACTGTGCTATCCTTTGTGTTAGGCTAACTACTAAATTTTTCGATTTCGAGTAATCTGCACCTAACCCTATTTTCTCCATAAGCCCTGTTATTTCTATTACGCGATTTTCTATAACACCTATTTTACAAGAACACAATTATCGCGTTATAGCAGAACTACCTGTAATTAAATTTGATGTTTATTTTCATTGTTTGTCTAATTTATCATGTATCAAAGTAATATTACTAAAAATTGTGTAGGTAGTAGGCAGCTACCAAACAGGTAGATACTACCGCCTGGGAAGATATTGGAAGCATAATGTGTTGTCTAATGGTAGACCCTGTTGCCATATGGCATCACGAAAATTGTGACCAAGTCCCAGGTTCAGCGCTGACCTGACTTTCTGCCTCATTTACACACAATTGCAGTTTGAATTGTTCCTCTAACTTTGACAACAACATACATACAGTATATTATTTCTCACTTTTGATCTTTTTTTACTTTTTGTATTTATTTATGGTTAGTTACTTAAAATAAGGCCAATTCACTTCAAGTAATGGCATCAAATGTTACCAGCTGGTGTAGTGTAAACACTAGTGACGCCACCAAGCCGCTCTGTATTTAACTGTCGGTAGTTTCAAGAATTAATGCAGTCATTTACTGAATATTCCTTGTAAAAAAATAAATTTTAAATTAATTATTTATAGGAGATAAGTATTATTATCAGTAAATATACCGATATGCATTACTGACCACTTCCACGGCTATAAATAGCCCAATCTGCGGTCACTTTTCCTTTCTTGTCTCCTCACTGGCAAATGGGGGGCGGGGGAGGGGTGTGTGATGATAGCTGTGTTTATTACAGGGGTATATTGTTCTTTTACGTATGTTAGACAGGTTTATAATACATTTTATTATTTTAATATACCGTAATCTTAATTTGAATCCAGCTTGCCAAACGAAGTTTCAGTATAAAATAATTAGTGGTAGGACCTTGTGAGTGGCTTACGATGTTTCCATCACCACTCTTGACACACTAAACCACAATATTTAAGAGGTAAGAATTTTATACTTGGTGATTAAGACGACCCCCTAACTTTGGGCAGATTTTTTTAATGTTCAAATTCCGTCTTATAAGCCGAGATATTCGGTACCCAGAAAATAAACTTCCTGTTCCAGGTACTGTATCTTAACGAATTCAGCGAATAGGTGGGTGGGTTCAGAGTGCTTGTGAGCTACGATTGGCTACTACTGTCATGGAAAATTAAATGCTTAAATTTAAAAGAAGAAAAATTAAAAATTAATAATCTTGTGAATGACTTTTTTAAAACAAGTTAACCTCACTGTTTGGCACAACTGAACTATTTGTATGTGGTTTGCTGATTTTATACCGGACAGCTGCCAACTGAACTAGTTTTGTTTACAAAATTTGTATTATAATAAATAGTGATGCCCACTTTTCAATTGTTTTGCTTGATAATTAATCAATCATCTCTTCCTTACGATGTCTTTTTATCTATTTTATTATGGCTACTGCCAGACGATTTTATTCAGCTAGGGAAGTCTCTCATAATCATGGGGTTAACAAAACTTTGCTGGTTCTACACTACATAGATTCAAACATATTCAGAATCCAGTTGCTCATAAATACCCACTTTTGCAAAGGAACACCTTACTTGGAACATGAATTCATCCCCTTCTCATCCTATTATTACACCCAGCTGAGGAAACCCTGTCAGTTTTGCCAAAGCATTATTCTGCTTTATCCCTCCCATCTGATGTACACCTTCCTCATCCCCATTATCCCCGCCCCCCCAGAAAAACACTTACCCCGACACACTGCTATCATCTTCCTCCTGCTCACTAGTGAATACTTCAATTCAGAATTCAAACCTCAGAGAGAGAGAGAGGATTGGCAAAGATAAGTGGTAAATGTGAAAGTGAAGCCAACTGTACAGTACTGTACCCTGTACAATAAGTCCCCATTGAACGTTAATCCTTTGAATGAATCCTCACTATAACAAACGCAAGTTTTTACTACCTGTTAGATATAAACTAGATTACCCCATATTTATGTGAATATGTTCTATTATGTTTTGTGTTAGTTATGGAATAAAGCGCCACTTTGAATGCGCATGTTATGTTTGTTTTGTTTTTACGGAAGGTCCCGAAAATATACTGGAAAGAGCAACATCGTTTGTGTCATTGTCTGAGCCTCTCGCATCATATTTCGTTGATATCCACCAAAAATGAACACTGTAACTTTAACAGGTTATGGGCCCAGGCACAGGTTGGTGTTTGATGGTGATGAAAGCAAGTATGAGTTGTGGGAAGTGAAGTTCTAGGCCATTTCAGACTTCAAAACTCGATGTCAATCAAGATGAAGACGTGCAGAGGTGACGGAGAAGAACGCTGAAGTGTTTGCAGAACTAGTCCAGTACCGACGAGAAGTCTTCCCTTATCACCCGAGATGCCAAGATGATGGTAGAAGTCATTAAAGATTCTCCGTGAACATTATCTAGGCAGCAGCAAAGCGAATTATTGCCTTGTATACAGAACTGACGTCACTCAAGAAATCCAATGAAGAGGCCATTACCGACTACGTGATACGGGCTGAAACGGCAGCAGCTTCATTGAAACTAGCAGGTGAAACCATCAGACCCAGTTTACTTGTAGCAATGTTATTAAAAGGATTACCTTTAGAATATAAGACATTTTCTACTGTTGTGATGCAGAAAGAAACAGCTGTTAGTTTTTCTGAATTTAAAGCAGCATTAAGAATTTTTGAAGAAACTGAAAAGTGTCAACAACAACAAGGTGACGATGCAGATAATGTGATGAATACAAAATTCAAAAATATGAATATTAAATGCTTTTCCTAGAAAATTAGGACACAGAAAATCTGAGTGCAGAAGTAAAGACAACTATAATCCTAATGAAGCAATGATACAAATTATTGCTGCAGAAATAATTCAGTAAAGTGCAGAAGTAAAGACAAATATAATCCTAATGAAGCTAAGCCTAGTAGGTGGTGTGATAACTGCAAATCCCCGACTCATGATACAAATTATTGCCGCAGAAATAATTCAGTAAAGTCTGTAACTAACAGTGAAGAAGATACCCATTCACTTGCATTTAGAGCTAGTGTCAGTTCTGTTTATGATAATGTAAGTAGTGCACAATGCCTGTTGGTAGACTGTGGAGCGACATCACATATCATAAGTGATAAATCCCAGTTTGTAAAATTGATCAGAATTTTGATTCTAACCATTGTATAGAATTGGCAGATGATAGTAGGCCAAATGGTATTGTATCAGGTAGAGGTGATGCAAGAGTTGAAATTAATGATGTTAATGGTAATAGTCAAAAAGTTCTACTCAAAAATGCTCTATTGTCTTTCAAACAGAATATATTTTCTGTTTTAGCAGCCACAGAGAAAGGTGCATCAGTAAATTTTACACCAAATTCTGCAGAATTGAAGGCCTCAGATGGTACAGTGTTTGATATTAATAAACATGGCAAACTGTATTATCTGAATAATGTGAACTCACAGAAAAACAGATACCCTTCGAAGCAACGCATAAAACCCAAACATTTGGAAGATTATGTTATGGAACCTGACTTTTCCAATATTTCCAGGTGTTCTGTTGATATTTGCTACAGAGTTGCAGATATTCCAAGAAACTACCAAGAGGCAGTCTCATCTCCAGAGTCCATGCAGTGGCATAAAGCCATGGATGAGGAAATGGAGGCTCTAAGAGACAATAACACATATGAACTCATGCCACCAGTTGAAGGTAGATCAGTATTGGTGGAAAATGGGTCTATGCAGTGAAACTTGGCCCTGATAGTGAAGAAAAATTCAAAGCTAGGTATGTAACTAAAGGCTATTCACAAGTTCAAGATGTGACTATCAAGAAACCTTCACCAACAGCTTGTGTTACATCAATAAGGATGTTACTGCAACAAGCAATACAAGACAACCTTATGATTCACCAAATGGATGTTAAAACTGCTTATCTGAATGCTGACATAGATTGTGAAATTTATTTAGAACAGCCAGAAGGTTATGTTAAAAGTAATATAGAAGGGAAAATTTTGTTTGTAAATTAAAAGAAATCTTTATATGGTTTGAAACAAGTGGCCACAAATTGAACAACATGCTACATAATTTTCTTTTGAGTGAAGATTTTCATCATTCTCTCTTAGATTATTGTATACTAGAATTGTAAACAAGGTGAAGGTCATTAATATTATCTGTAGACGATATAATTATTGCAGCCAGTATGGCGATATACTTAGTGAAAAACTTTCCTGTGTAATAAATTTAAAATGAAAGATTTAGGAAAAATGTCTTGTTCTTAGGTATGGAGTTCAAATTTGAAGATGACTGTATTAAGATAAATCAAACTAAATATTTAGAGAAAATACTTAATAGATTTAAAATGTCTGACTGCAACCCTAAGTCAATACCAATGTGATTTAAGTGTAAGTAAAATCATTAGTAGTTACTCAAAGAACTGTGTGATACTAGATTGTACAGACAAATTTGTCGGCAGTTTGATCTATGTAATGACTGGTACAAGACCGATCTATCTTATATTGTTTCAAAATTGTTGCAACATATGGCAAAGCCTACAAAACAACTTTTTGAATTAGCTAAACATGTTTGAATTATGTTAAAGGTACAATTCATTATAACTTAAAGTTCAGGAAATCAAACAGTCCATTAAAATTGATTGGTTACTGTGGATCAGATTGGGGTACATCGGAAGAAGTAGTATTACAGTTTACAGTTATCAATTAAATGAAGATGGTCCATTGATTTCTTGGAATCTAAGAAACAGAATGTTGTAGCATTGTCCTAATGTGAAGCTGAATATATGGCTTTAACAGCAGCTATGCAAGAAGTGAATTTCTTAAGACAGTTGTTAACTGATATGCAAAATTCTAATAGAGAACCTGTAACATTGAATGCTAATAATCAGGGAGCTATTGCATTGGGAGCTATTGTACATCATCAAAGGTCGAAACATATCGATATTAAGTACCATTTTATTAGATCAGAAGTAGATGGTATTATTAATCTGCAGTATGTTCCATCAAAAATAACATTGCTGATATGTTCACTAAACCAGTATCTAAAGAGAAACTAAAGAAGTTTGGTATTACATGAGGTGTACCCTAGTTTAAGAGGGGGATGTTAGATATAAACTAGGTTACCCCATATTTATGTGAATATGTTCTATTATGTTTTGTGTTAGTTATGGAATAAAGCGCCACTTTGAATGCGCATGTTATGTTTGTTTTGTTTTTACAGAAGGTCCCGAAAATATACTGGAAAGAGCAACATCGTTTGTGTCATTGTCTGAGCCTCTCGCATCATATTTCGTTGATATCCACCAAAAATGAACACTAACTTTAACACTACCCGTTTGCGCATTAGCTTAAAGAATGTTCTACTATTATGAAAGGTAAGTCACCCCCACCTTTCTGCTTTCTCACCACCACTACCTTTAGTATCACCACCTAAATCATAATTTCTCCTTCCTTCCTTCCTCCCTCCCACCCACCCAGTGCATCTCACCGACACTGCCTCTCTCACTCATTCTATGACTGTCATTCATGATGGTACAATATTGTACAATACTGTACATTTTTATTTGTTATTCTCACTTCATAATATAAAATTTATGTAACATAATGTAGAAGGAATACGACGTTGTTCAATTGTCTGGCAGTCCTGCAGGCAGTGTTACCAAACAAACTGACACGCATCATCGCACCACTTGTCACCTTCCTTCCTCCCACTGCATCTCACCAACACTCTCTCTGCCTTTCTCTCATTCGACTATGACTCATTCATGATACAATATTGTTTAACAAAAAATACTGTATTGCTAAACCAGTAGTAAATAAAAGCCAAATGAAAGTTTAACACAGTTGTCATTTGCTTACACTGCCTGCTTCACCATAGTAACAGACACTAATTGGGAGGTACCTCTTCCATCTCCCCTTGCAATGCTCCCTCCCAACAATCTGAACCCTACTCCCCTCCTCCTAACTGAGCCAGCTAACACCTCACGGCATGGCCCAGTAGCCTGGTGGTTACAGTAAGGAGTCTAACGTAACTGCAATGACATGATTAATCACTATTAAGCACTATTCTATCAGTAAACACTAATAAAAACAGTAAATCCAGTGAAATATGGCAGGGAAGGAGAAGAGTTGCAACTGCAGAAGACACTCAACTTGTGGTCATTCACTCCCCTTACCCATGCCCATTGCCAGGCATAGCCAGGAGTCCGTATGGGAGAAATGCATATCTTGCATAGTCTTAATTTGAGAATGGTGAAGGGCTTAGTGATAAACAAATGATATAACCATGCATTTTCCTATGATAATATACGAAACATTGTATCATTACTAGAGTGAATGAATTAATATTCCCACAAACAACAATTGACAACTCTGTTTATGTACCTTTATGTTTTACAGGTTTTATTGTTTTTATCTTCAGTATTTTGATATGTTGCAATTATTTTGTCACAGAGCTTAGTACAGGAACACATTCCCCCTTATTTCATTAATTTATATGGTAAAAATGTTTCGATGAATGTAATCCACCTAACGAAAGCATTTTAGTGCAACCCAACCCTTTTGTTCACTGGGGACATAATGCAAAATGCAGATCGAATGCAAAAACAGCAGTGAGCGAGTAACAAGCTTGTACAACAGTAGCAGACAATGGAGTAAGAGTGTCATGATGCATCCCATGCAATCACATAACAGTAGTGGACAATAGTAGCTCACACACACTCAGCCTACCCACTACATGCCCGGCATGTGCCTTTGAGTCAGAAACATGGTGCCATCTTTTGGAAATTCTTTCCCATACCCAGAACAAAGATTTTTAAGAATTTTCTGGAAATGACATGATGCAATCCTCAGATATTTGTTCCCATGCTCAGAATGTTGAGATTTTTCCCGGAATTTCTCAGAATGCTCAAAAAACTAACCGGCTATTGGAGAATTAAGGGATTGAAGATTCTGGTTAACAGAGAGATTACTCTATAGTATTCACAATCTCTGCTGCCTCTCGATTGTCAAATCTTGTTACTTTTAGTTCCTTACCCCTTCCATATTCTTGATCTTCCCACTTCTGTCTCTCATTATCCACCTCTTAATTATACACTTCACTAATCTTTTACTTCCCATTCTCTCAATATATTCATACTACCAATACAAGCTCTGATAATAAAAATAAGTAATAAAAAGAAATAATAACAATAATAGTTGGTCATTTGTTTATCAAAAGTGCCCATTCTTCTAAAGAATTCACTCATGCTCAAAACACTACAAAGTCAAAGAAATGAGAAGAAAAAAAATACTGCGCTACTGTACAATAAAATATCACAAAAAAGTGATATTCGACTTTTATTATTCATATAGGTGCAGTAGACCCTCGCCAACAGCAGATTCCATGTATCCAGGGTTTTCACTCTGAATACCATTTTGCCAACCATGGAATACAATTTTATGCATCTGGGGATTAGCAAGGCAGCTTTATCCCCCCACGGTCTAATAAGAACATAAGAACATAAGAATGGAGGAAACTGCAGCAGGCCTATTGACCCATACTGGGCAGTCCCATTTACACCCAGCCCTATTACTCATATATCCATCCAACCTAAGTTTGAAGCTATCCAGCGTATTCGAGTTAATGACGATGTTTGGTGACCAGAATTGAGCTGCGTAATCCAAGTGAGGTTTCACAAGCGCAAGATATAGTTTTAAGATGACCTCGTTAATCTTGTAACTAACACTTTGTATGAACCCAAGTACTTGGCTTAAGATTCCTACTTATCATTACTCCTAAATCTCTCTCGCAGTCGGATTTCTCAATAACATCATTGTTCATCTGGTATCTGGTTTCCCTGTTTACATGTCATATACTGAGTGCTTTACATTTGTCCACATTGAATTTCATCTGCCATTTTTCAGACCATTCGAAAAATTTGTTTAGATCTTCCTATAGTTTTGCAGAGTCCTCGTCAGATTTAATTACATGTCCTATTTTAGTGTCATCAGCAAATTTACTTATGTTGCTGTCTGTTCGATATCTATGTCATTTATGTATATAATAAATAATAATGGTCCAAGTACTGAGCCTTGCGGAACTCCACTAGTGACGCGTTCAATGCGATTTAGTGCCGTAATGCTCACTGCTGTTTTCGTCCTGTAACCACCCCTAATCCATTTTAGAATATCACCTGTAATGCCACTGAGCCTCCACTTTTCTTATTAGTCTTTCGTGGGGACTCTGTCGGCTTTGCTAAAGTCGATATACCACATCATAATTGTGCCCTCGGTCCAATGATTCGAAACTGATGAAAAGAATGTTAATAATAGTTAACATGAACCGCTTGTAGCCATGTTGGGAATCATTGATCAACTTGTGCTTCCAGGTGATTTCAAATAGAGTTTGAAATGACTGCTTCCATTAATTTGCCTACAATTGATGTTAGGCTGATTGGACGTAGTTAGAGGATAGTGATCTATCTTCCTTCTTGAAAATCGGTATTACATTCAGCATCCCCCAGGATTCTGGTACTACACCTGCTTTTAAGGACATGTTAAACAACTTTGCTAAGGGCATACTAAGCTCTTCCTTACATTCTTTTAATACTCTGGCAATTATCTCATCGGGACCTGGTGACTTATTAGGCTTTAGTTTGTCTATTTGCTTACTAACATCGTTACTAGTCACTACTATTTCGCTTAAATTTTCGGTGGTGAAAACTGTTGAAAAATATTTATTCAGATTATTGCTCATTTCTTCATCATTATCAGTTAGCTCGACGGTATCTGACTGTATTGGGCCAATCTTTTCTCGTGTTTTAGTTTGATACATTTGATAGAATCCCTTGGGGTTTGACTTTGCCTCCTTTGCTATCTTC